TCGCCGTCGCCGTCGCCGGAAGAGGACGAGGAGGAGGAGCAGGAAGAGGAGGATGAAGAGGAGTTTTCCGATGAGGAAGTGGAGGGAGGCTGGGAATTCTCATCGTCTGTTTCCATTTCTGTGGCGATCGATCTTTTCGGAATATTGTAAAGAGTGGGTTCTTAATTAAGCAAATTTTTATCGCTCTTCAAACTTCAAATAGATGGAGCTGGGGCTAGCTGCATGCGGTAGTTAAGATTTCAAGACGGAGTTACTGAAATTAAATGTTCACATTTTACTCTTATTTAAATCAAATCCCATTGCGTTAAATATCAGCTTTATGCAGACACGAGCATGGGTGATGAGAAGAGATTTAGGCACTGTTTGGCAACCAAAAAAAGTGTCTTATCTAAGAGCTTGTGTCTTATTGACTTGGTCAATAAGCTAGTAGAGCTGTTTGACGATAGGAGGAGATTATTTAGGAGATTGTGTCTTTTGCAAGTAGCTTTTGGAAAGCTACCTCAAGTAGCGTTTGTCTTTGGGAAGGAGCTGCCAATTTTTTTCTTCCGTTTTTACCCCTAATAATTCTAATTTTATATCAATAATATTGCATGTCCTTTATAGTCATTTAACAAATTTAAGCTAGTTGTACAGCTACTTTTGCCAATTAGCTCTAGTCAATCAGCTAGCTACACAGCTAACAGCTTTCAGCTACAATTTCACAGCTTTCAGCTAGCTTAACAGCTTTCAGCTATAATCTCGCAGCTTTCAGCTAGTTTTGCCAAACAGAGCCTTAATAGACGAATAAAGGCTTTGGATAATTAAATATCTTATTTTGTACAGAATAAACTAGTGGCGTATCAGCGGGGGTGCAGACGGTTCGGGTACGTCTTGGTCATGATACATATCATGTCTGTATCTGCCAATAATTATGGATATGAATACTAATACAGAAAGATCATAAATGCATCTGCCAAATTTATATACGAAACAAACATTGGATATGTGAAAACCAAACAAACATTGGAAATATACAGTTGATGAGATACTAGAGAGTTTGTGAATATGTTCGTTCTAGATATTAAAAACTTAAGATTAGATCTCTTGATCATCAAATTTGTCCTTAAATCCATCAATCTAAAGACTAAACTTATTGTAATTGTATTTCCAACGTATATTTGCGTGTTTTAGATATGGATATGGATAATTCACTATATATTCGTATCTGTTTTTATATCCTATCAGAGATATAGAATTCAGTAGCCATGTACGTATGGACACGAAAATAGTACTCCTGCTTATCAGGCCGCATGCTTCCTTTCTGCAATATTTTAAAGCCCACAGCATGTTAGGCCCAACTTCTTGTCTTATAAAAGCTACTGGTCAAATCCAATCTTCATTAAAGCCCACGGCCCAATCCAAATCTAATCTGTGAAACATCTGTCTTCGTCAGCCATGCACTTGACACGCGTCCCCTTCGGTGCGCAAGTTCCAGGCGAAATTAGATTGCTAAGCCTTCAGCAAGAAATACAGCTGCTACTTTCCCTTCAAAGACGCCCAAATATAAAATCGGAAATCAAGGAAATTTATGGCTCAAGAATCCGTACGTTTCTTTAATTTTTCTTCGCTATATTGCGATGTATAACGTAACATTTATTCCATTTATTTATTAGTTATTTAGAAACGTGTACCTTGCAGCTGTATCTTTCAGAATCAATTTGATCATGGCTGCTGTTATGTTTGTTAATTGAAGTCCGGTTGTCGTAAACTTTCAATTTGATGGAAATGAGAGCCTCATGTTTGATTAGGGGTGGTAAACGATGGAATCGAATCGAATACTGAAGTGTTTGTATTTGTATTTGTTTAAAATTATCGAATTCGAATGTGACTCTAATACCATATATCTAGTTTTTCGAATTCGAACTCGAATACTTGGTATTTGATAAATATTCATGAACATCCACGAATACTTATCGAATATCAAAGTATATTTATTCCGCTAAACAATTTAATTTTCAAATAATATTAAAATTCATAAATAAAAATTATTCCTTTATAATATGTGATGTATATATATTTAAATTAAAATTTTAATTATAAACAGATTTAAGATTATTTAAGTCGTAAAATCAGTATATAAACCTTAAGTAGAAATGGTAAATGAGTTAAAAAAACGTTATATGTGCAACAATACAAATAATAAGTTGTGATCAAATTTTAAACGAATATTTAATAGACAAACGAATCTAATATACATCTGGTTAAATTCTATTCGCTAGTAAACTCGAATACTAAAAAATATTTGTTTAGTGGTAAATGAACTACTTAATCGAATATGACCGAATAGTTATTCGAACAATCATCAAACTATTTGTTAATTATTTGATTCATTTCCACCGCTATGTTCGATGCAATGCTTAGACTGAGTTTGTATTTCAGATGAAGTGATAAAGCCCTAGTGAATTCTGGCTTTTGATTGATTGGTGTCTTGGTTGTGGTTCAAAATGTCAATTTTGATAGGTTTCATCACAATTCTAATTAGTTTTCTAACTTGCCTGAGGCATGTTGTTTTTTTTGTGTCCTCTTTATGGATGATTATGAAAATTCCGTCTACAGGGAAACCTTAGAATAGATTATTAGGGTTAATAGAATACCTTCTTCTAGTCTTTTAGCCAAAGTTCTCCCTTATATCCCTTGGCTCCTGCCCCTGTCCTAGAAAGACTTTCTCCCTCAATCAAGGTAAGGCAGTTCAGAAAGTTGATATGAAAATTGGGAAAGAAAGTTGTTTCCAGTATCATGTACAAAATTTTGGAGAACTGAAAATTTATAGTTTAATGAAACTCATGTTTGAATCTTGTATCTATATCATTTGCACCAAATCTCTGATTTCAAACTTTTTCCACCATAAATGGTGAGGTCCATTTGTTTGGAGTATAAGTAGAGAGTCTGCTCCTTTAATTTTGGCTTAATTGCACTTAAATACCCAATATTTCAACCATGTTGCACTTATATACCCTTACTTGTTTTTGGCGGCACTTATATACCCAAAAAGTTTAGAATTTGCACTTATATACCCTCGCATGTTGTGGCATCACTTATATAACCTAAAATTTTTAAAACTTGCACTTAAATGCATTAAACTTTAAAACTTGCACTTAAATGCATTAAACTTTAAAACTTGCACTTAAATATTCTATAAGTTTTTAAACCTCCTCTGAAATACCCTCAAGTTTGATAACTGAGTGTATTTAAATGCAAGTTTTAAAAACTATAGGGTATTTAAGTGCAAGTTTTGAAAACTGTAAGATATATAAGTGATGTCAAAACAAGTGAGGGTATATAAGTGCAAGTTTTAAAAACTTTAGGTATATAAGTGTTGCCAAAAACAAGTGAGGCTATATAAGTGCAAAGTAGAGGAAACTATTGGGTATTTAAGTGCAATTAAGACTTTCATTTTAGGAAGTAATGTTGTAAGTTGTCACATCGGTAATCAGGGATGAAGTGTGAAATTGAGGTATTGACTCCTAATAATTTAACTAGTAATATTAAGAAAAATTCCTCAAATGGCCCAAAATATGAGACCAATAGGGGAGACATGTGAGGTGTCCTCATCCTATTGCATAATAAGTTGGCCATCATTAATGATGACCAGCTCATTATGTAATACGAATGAGATACCTCACCTGTCCCCCATGTTGGTCCCATATTTTGGATCCCTGTAGCAAAGCTCTAATATTAAGTCCCGTTCGTTTGCTAAAACAAGGGATAGACAAGGTGTTCCCAGAACAGAAACAACAAAAACAACTGAGCTTATCCCAATATTTTGTGGTCAATTGAATGAATCTTTTTATTCCATTCGGTTTTGTTGGGTCATCTCCTCATTATGTTAAACACTACAATAACGTTCTTAGTGATATTAATCCAGAATCTTTCATGCCTATATTTGCTCCTCAATGCTCCATTAACAGTAATCCTATCAATTCTCCAAATTTGCGGCTTTGCGCTCTTGCTAGCCTCTATTGGGTTCATGCCTAAACCATTATAATTGTTCATCCCTCAATTTAGTGGTAGCCTCGGGACTCCTTATGGATGTACTCACTTCTTACTTTCTCTATTAACTTGATCATTCATCCATCTCAGCAATCATTTTGCTATATTCAGCATTCATATTGCTATATTCATTGAACAGTTTTTTTTTATAATCATTCAATATTTTGAATCATAAAGACCGGTAAAGCGTTGTTGGTCTTATTGACTTTGCATCGTTGGTCTCAGTTTGATAATGTTTTATATGGAAAGAAACCCTTTATATATGTTAATTCTACCTTTGGCAATACCACGAGTAAAAGAGCATTTGGGAAAATTAACATCGTTTCCTTCCCAAGTCTCCCCTTCCAAGCCAGGACCTGAAGGATTCACAAGTAGGACTTCATGTTAAATTTTATGGGTTTTTTTATATAATTCTGATACTCGCCCTCAGTGAAAAGAGAGGAAAATCTGATCTTGAAACACAGTGACTAGCAAACCAAGCCACCAAGTATAGCTTGAACATGAGTTTTATAGGGATACAAAATCAATATAATGAAGTTTCATTTCGAGTCAAGGTGCTTTATAGAAGCCAGGTATGAGGTTATCCCAGATCAAACAATTAAGAAGACAATATCATTGGCAATTCAGAGTTCTAAGTGTTAGGCGCCTAATGAAGCCAAGCACCGAAAAAACCCTTCACATCCAGCAGCCAATGTTGAAAAGGAAAAAGAAAACAAAATGGTGGGGCCCACTGCTACAGTAAAATATTAATATTTTATTATGCATAGTGTTTTTCAAAAAACTATAAATAGGGCTCCAAATCCTTAAGGAAATCTCATCCCAGAAACAACTTCTTACATAGAAGAGTGAGAGAGAAAAAAATAGAGAGTTTCTTTTTGTAAAGAGAGTGAGAGTTTGTAACTCCAGAGTTTTCTCCTCATAGTGAATTCTTCTATCCTTGCCCGTGAACGTAGACAATCAAGTGCCGAACCACGTAAATCTGTGTGTCCTACATTTTATCTCTACTTTTGCTCTACTATTGCTGCGACCCTGCTCTATTGGGTCATGGGTTTGTCCCAACAAGTGGTATCAGAGCCAACTTAGGGTACTTGTATATATCTACTTATCGTATGCTCTGTGGTTGCCACCAAAGGTGGATCCTTCACATCAGAAAATAAGTTAGGTTATCATTTACCCTTTGGAGGTGACGGGTACTATTCACGAGTACGGTATTGTTCACAAATACGGTACTATTCATAAGTACGGCACTATTCAGAGATACGGTTACTGTTCATAAATACAGTACTATTTACGTGAAATAGTAAGAAGTTATTGTTCGTGGTAGAAACAATGGCGGCGAAGTTCAAGATCGAGAAATTCGACGGGAGTAATTTCTCACTGTGGAAGTTGAAGATAAAGGCTATCTTGAGAAAAGATAATTGCCTGACGGCCATTGGTACAAGGCCGGACGACATCACAGATGATAAGAAGTGGAACGAGATGGACGAAAATGCTATTGCAAATTTTCATCTGGCATTAGCAGACGGGGTGCTGTCAAGCATAGAGGAGAAGAAGACAGCAAAGGAGATCTGGGATACTCTAACAAAGCTATATGAGGCGAAATCCATGCACAATAAAATCTTCTTAAAAAGGAGACTTTACACTCTGAGGATGGCGGAATCTACATCGATGACCGACCACATCAACACCCTAAACACACTGTTCTCCCAACTCACAACGTTGGGATATACAGTTGGTGCGAATGAACGTGCAGAACTTCTACTTCAGAGTCTACCTGACTCGTATGATCAACTCATCATCAACCTAACGAACAACGTCCTCACGGACAATCTAGCCTTCGACGATGTTGCAGCCGCTGTTCTGGAGGAAGAAAATCAGCGCAAGAACAAGAAAGACAGGCAGACAAGTTCGCAGCAAGCGGAGGCCTTATCGGTGACGAGAGGAAGATCAACAGAACGTGGCTCCAGTGGGAGTCATGCCCATGGTAGATCGAAATCACGAAGTAAGAAGAATATCAAATGCTACAACTGTGGCAAAAGAGGGCACGTCAAATCGGAGTGTTGGCACAACAAGAAGAGTGGAGATAAAAAGTCTTCAGAGCCATCAACATCTCAAGGATGCGTTGTCAGCACGTCAGAGGATGGTGAAATTCTATTCAGTGGAGCAACCACTGTTGATGAAGGCAGAAAGAAGTTTGCTGATGTCTGACTTCTAGATTCAGCAGCCTCTTGGCACATGACCTCTCGGAGAGATTGGTTTCACAAATATGAACCTATCTCAGGAGGATCTGTATTCATGGGGAATGATTATGCCTTGGAGATTTGTGGTATTGGTACTATCAAAATCAAAATGTTTGATGATATAATACGCACCATTCAAGATGTGCGACATGTGAAGGGCTTGAAGAAGAATCTATTGTCTTTGGGATAATTAGATGAGCTCGGGTGCAAGACTCATATAGAAAATAGAGTCATGAAGATTGTTAGAGGGGCGCTTGTGGTGATAAAAGGAGAAAAGATGGCTGCAAATCTGTACATGCTCAAGGGAGAGACTCTGCAGGAAGCTGATTCATGTGTGGCATCAACCAGCCATGGAGAAGAACAAACCATGATGTGGCATCGCAAGCTAGGCCGCATGTCAGAACGAGGCTTGGAGGTTCTCTTCGATCAGAAGCTGCTTCCTGGTCTTAATTCAGTAGCTCTTCCATTCTGCGAGCATTGTGTTACAAGCAAGCAACATCGACTGAAGTTCAACACATCGAGTTTTAGAAGCAAGGCTATTCTAGAACTGGTTCATTCTGATGTATGGCAAGCACCAGTTACATCCTTAAGAGGAGCAAAATACTTTGTGTCCTTTATTAATGATTACTCTAGGAGATGTTGGGTGTATTCTATCAAGAAGAAGGCGGATGTGTTCTCAGTCTTTAAAGCCTACAAAGCGCGGGTCGAGCTTGAATCTGAGAAGAAGATCAAGTGTTTGAGGTCAGATAATGGAGGAGAATACACAGATGGTGAATTCCTAGCATTCTGCAAGCAAGAAGGTATCAAAAGACAATTCAGTACGGCTTATACTCCACAACAAAATGGAGTGGCGGAGCGGATGAACAGAACTCTGTTGGAAAGAACAAGAGCTATGTTGACAACTGCAAATCTGGAAAAAAAAATTTGGGCGGAAGCAGTAAAAACCGCTTGCTATGTGGTGAATCGATCTCCATCAACTGCAATACAATTGAAGACGCCAATGGAGATGTGGACTGGCAAGCCAGCTGATTATTCCAACCTTTATATATTTGGAAGTCCAGTGTACGTAATGTACAATGCCCAAGAAATTACAAAGCTGGATTCAAAATCCAGAAAATGCATATTCTTGGGGTATGCTGATGGAGTAAAGGGGTATCGCCTGTGGGATCCCATTGTCCGCAAGGTTATCATCAGCAGAGATGTTATCTTTGTAGAGAACCAACTACAAAGTGAAGAGAAAGAAAGCAGTTCGAGGAAGGACTCAGAGACTGTAGCTGTTCAGGTAGAAGATAATCCGAATTCTTTTGAAGCGACACAGGGGCATGATGTACAAGAACCAGTCGAGGCCGAGGCTCCAGAAGTTCGAAGGTCAACTCGTGAGAGAAGACCACCGACTTGGCACTCGGAGTATATTACGGAGAGTAATGTTGCATACTGTCTTCTAACAGAAGATGGAGAGCCATCAACTTTTCATGAAGCTATAAATGGCACAGATGCATCTTTGTGGATGACAGCAATGTAGGAAGAAATTGAGCTCTCCATAAGAACAAGACTTGGGAACTTGTGTCACTGCCACAAGGAAAAAAGACCATTGGAAACAAATGGGTCTACAAGATCAAGCAAAATGGCGATGATCAGGTGGAGCGATATCGTGCTAGATTGGTGGTAAAAGGATATGCTCATAAAGAAGAGCAGCTAGATGTGAAAACAGCATTTCTTCATGGAGATCTTGAAGAAGAAATTTACATGCTCCAACCAGAAGGTTTTGAAGAAAAAGAGAACTTGGTTTGCAGATTAAACAAATCTCTGTACGGTCTAAAGCAGGCGCCGAGGTGTTGGTACAAGAGATTTGATTCATTCATCATGAGCCTTGGATACAACAGACTTAATTCAGACCCTTGTGCATATTTCAAGAGGTTTGATGAAAATAACTTTGTTATCTTATTGTTGTATGTTGACGACATGTTGGTTGCATGCCCCAACAAAGATCGTATCCAAGAATTAAAGGCTCAGTTGGCTAGAGAATTTGAAATGAATAATTTAGGATCTGCAAATAAGATTCTAGGGATGCAAATTTACCGAGACAGAATTAATAGGAAGATTTGACTTTCTCAGAAGAACTATTTGAAGAAAATCTTGCGACGCTTTAACATGCAAGATTGTAAGTCAATTTCTACCTCACTTCCTGTTAATTTTAAGTTATCCTCCAGTATGAGTCCTAGCAGTGAAGAAGAGAGGATGGAGATGTCTCGAGTACCGTATGCATCAGCAGTGGGAAGCTTAATGTTCGCGATGATTTGTACAAGACCAGACATTGCACAAGCAGTGGGAGTGGTTAGTCGATACATGACGAATCCTGGTAAAGAGCATTGGAATGCTGTAAAGAGGGTTCTAAGATACATTCAGGAAACCTTAAATGTTGCATTATGTTATGGGGGATCTGATTTTATTGTCAGTGGATATGTTGATTCTGATTATGCAGGTGATCGTGATAATAGCAAATCCACCACAGGTTATGTGTTTGCACTTGCTGGCGGAGCTGTAAGCTGGGTTTCAAAACTGCAGTCAGTTGTGGCTACTTCAACAACAGAAGCAGAATATGTAGCAGCTACACAAGCTAGTAAAGAAGCGATGTGGTTGAAGATGGTGCTGGAGGAACTCGGCTATGAACAAAAGAAGATTTCTCTATTTTGTGACAGTCAGAGTGCTTTGCATTTGGCAAGAAATCCAGCCTTTCATTCAAAGACCAAGCACATTCGAGTTCAGTATCACTTCGTTCGTGAGAAAGTGGAAGAAGGAACAGTGGATATGCAGAAAATTCAAACCAAAGACAACCTAGCAGATTTTTTAAGAAAAGCAGTCAGTACTGACAAATTCATTTGGTGTCGATCCTCTTGTGGTCTGTCAGAGACGTAAGCAACATGAAGATGGCAAGATAGAAAGAATGGTGTGAAGATATGATTGATACTCAATCAAATCTTCAAGTGGGAGATTGTCAGACCCCTATCAACTCCAAAACCACCGAAAGAAGCAGCAGCCTTTGTTGATATTTTGAAAGAAAACAAAAGAGCGGGCCCACTGCTACAGTAAAATATTAATAAAGGCTGCTGCTTCTTTCGGTGGTTTTAGAGTTGATAGGCGCCTGACACTAAGGACATAGGCTCATATGGATGATAGAGGGATTGAACTCGATATTGATTTATCACTATTCACACTTCTTGCTTTTGATTTGTTTCTGTTATATGCTCAATTATGGTGAGTAACAAATATGGTAGAGAAGTCTTTGTTTTGCTTAGGGTCAAGTCAAGCTGTTTCGTGTTTGATTACAACAACTATCCTTTGTTTTCACAGATAACACTTCTACAAAAAGTGTAACAACGAATGGTTTGAGTTATTAGTTCATAAGATGGCCGATCCAGCCGATACAAATTCAAAACTCCCAAGTTGTGATGCTTATTTTGATGCCATCCAAGCAAGGAAACGGTTGCCAATTTCCTTACAGGAATCTCTGACATCTGCATTTGCACAGATTCCTGTTTCATCTTTCCCGGAAGTTCCAGGTGGCAAAGGCACGTCTCCTGTTCACCTATGCACCTTCGTCAGTAGTTCATGTCAACTGTAGAGGCAAATCCTAATTATACTTATTTTTGTCTTCTTACCCCCATTCTTTTGGATGGTGCAGTAATTGAGATTTTGTCAGACACATCCATTATTGAAGCTGTTCGAATCTTATCTGAACACGATATATTGGCTGTCCCTGTAAGGAATTCAGAGACAACTGGTATTGACTGGAGAGAACGGTACCTAGGGATAATCGATTATTCTGCTATCATTCTCTGGGTGTTGGAGAATGCAGAGCTTGCTGCTGTTGCTCTGCCTGTAGGATCAGCGACAGTTGCTGGAGTGGGGGTAGGGACAATTGGTGCTCTTGGAGCAGCAGCAACTGGCTTAACTGCTGTTGCTGCAGGTGCAGCCTTGGCTGGTGGAGTGGCTACACAGCAATCTGTTGCGAAAGATGCTTCTGTTGCTGTCGATTATTTGGGCAAGGATTTCTACAAGCTTCTTCTTCAAGAAGAACCCTTCAAGTCGACAATGGTCAGCACTCCTGAACATCCTTTTATTTGTAGAGTTAATTGCAGATAGACCGCTTATAATTTGAACTAAAATGATTAGTAATAAAATTTAAAATATGAAAAACTTATTTACAGACAAGCTAATCATTCAAATAGTTTCTAGATGTCCCCGACTATGATTTCCCACTTTTCTGATTTGTTTCCTGTCTTGGCTCTGATCATTTTGTGATGATAATTAGTTATCATATTTTGATTTGGCTTAACAAGTTATGGAATACCCTATGTATTTCAGTTAAATTGTTGGTAAGTAACTAGAAGACTGTTTTTAATTTGCTAAGATCACATCATTCTTTATGAGGCTGATTTATCTATTTATTCATGTGAAGTTTGGAAATGAAACTTTCTCATATGATTTGAGCCATTGTTGATATTTCTGCACCAATAATTCTAAGAGAGGATGCAATGCATAGAAAACTCAGGTTAGCATATATACTAATAAAGATAACATCTGTGGCTGTTCCTTGGATTGAATAATAGAATTCGATGAATGATGTATAAAATTTTGTTTTCCGATTATTGCAAGTTCAGTGCCAAGAATTGTTTCTTTCATTACTAGCATATCCCATGTGATGAACTTATTTTTGAACTTATGTTTGCAAATTGGTTCAATTTTCGTTTTGGTTGAGTAGGATTGCTGGATTGTATGTTGGAATTTACAGTAGACTGGCTTGATTTGTGATGAAAATCTGCTTAAGAAATTGCTGTTTTAAGCTCCTAATTCACACTAATTAACAATTTAAGTTGATGAATTTGTATGAGTTTTGACAGAGTAGTTATTGCATGATATGTCTGATATAGTTGAGGTCCGTCTCTGAAAATTATTTCCATGTCATATCTTTTCCTCTCAGGTGAAGTCGGTTGTTCAGTCCTATCGTTGGGTGCCCTTTCTCCCTGTTGCACCGGACAGCCCCATGCTTACTGTATTGCTGTTGCTTTCAAAATATAGGTTGAGAAATGTCCCGGTAGTTGAACTAGGGAAGCCCTACATCAAGAATTTCATCACCCAATCAGCTATCGTGCAAGGTCTCAAACAGTGTGAAGGAAGAGACTGGTTTGATTGTATTGCTGCATGCTCTCTTTCGGATCTTGGGCTACCCTTCATGTCATATGACAAGGTAATTCCTTTGACTTTCACAAAGGCATTATTGATTTCATTCATCTTATTATTTGGTGTCTACATTGTTCGGTCGCTCTCTGACTATGCTTGCTAAAGTTTGTTTGTGGTTCATCCTTTGTCCCTTGGAAAGGGTTGTTTTTCTTATTCTCACTGTGGTTTGCCATGAGTTCTTTCTTGATAATCATGCTTAATATTCATGACCTCTTTCTCAATTGTTTTGGAGTTATATTAGCGTGACAATCATGCTCAATATTTATGTCCTCTTTCTCCCAAAAACACACACACACACACAAAACCCCAAAAAAACAAACCCTCCCTCTCACTCTGTTTTTTAGGCATATCAGTGTGAATACTTATTTATTTTTTTGAACAATGAACAACTTAGATAAGTAACTATAGGAGTGCAACTCTTCCAATTTCTACCTGGATGGAGACAATTCTTTAGTTGAGGCAAGCCTTGAACTTGGAGAATTTTAGGTGTTTTTAAGCTCTGTATTTTTAATTAATGCCTCAGGATCAATCAGTTTCTTTTCCTGCTTTGCATTATCTATTTAAATTTAATAATATGCCTTGAAAGCTTTAACTTACGCAGCAAAAATTCTTAATCTTGTGCTTGATTAGCAGGTTATTAGCATCAAAGGAGATGAGTTAATTCTTGAGGCCTTCAAACGGATGAGAGACAACCGAATCGGTGGGCTCCCTGTTTTAGAGGGACCTAGTAGACGGATCATCGGAGCAGTAAGCATCCGAGACATCAGATTCTTGTTGCTTAGGCCTGCACTTTTTTCTACTTTGAGGTATTGAAATCGATCTCAAAGAATGTAATCCTAGAGGATTAACAAGAGATAGGTATCCCATATAATTACGGAGAGACCCTTTGCAGCATGGTTGCTTTGGACTTGCTACCCGTCTAGTTCTATTGTTGCAGTTAGACCCCCTGAGTGAATTTTTGGACTCTTCCGCTCTCAGGGTGCCTTTAAAAAAACATATTTCTCTTTCGCGGAGCATCTAAGAGTAAAGCAAAAAATAATTCAGGGGGTCTATTTGCAACAGTAAACCTAGCGGTAGTAAGTTCGAAACAGCAATAAATACAGAGGTCTATTCGCAATTAACCCTATGAAATAATTTTATAAGTATTTATGTTCACATTAGTTAAAGATCTCTCTCGTACCAGGCATCTGACAGTGATGGACTTCATCAATACTAAAAGCTCATTGTGCGCAGAGGAGGGCGTATCTGTAGCATCACCAGTTACATGTGCACCCAATTCGCCCCTCGGGAGCGTTATAGACAGCCTCGCATCCAAACGTGTTCATCGAATCTATGTAGTCCAAGGAGATGAATGTGAAGTCGTTGGGGTCGTAACACTCAGGGATGTGATTTCTTGCTTTATCTATGAGCCTCCTGGTTATTTTGACAACTATTTTGGCGGTTCCATGAAGGAGATCCTGAGCCAGTGATTTTGGTCAAGGTTGTAAATTGTGACTGTAGTTGATATCAAGTTAGCACCAAGTTTTATTAGGTGAATGGCTCAAAATTTTACCTTCATGTGTCACTTCCATGTGCTTAACATGTGTTTAAGTACAGAAATTGAGAAGTAGTGTCTTTGTGCCTTATTTACTGACTTCAGTATAGTTGCTTTGAGCACTGTTTCTTCAGTTGGTTTCTTGTTTGATAACAGGGGCAGGTTTCCCATGTCACCTCTACAGATTGAAGAGCTTATGCTCTTCGGTGCTCTTAAATGCTAAAAATAGCCCTTCACAAACTTCGAAAAGTTTTAGAGCCAAATCAAGAGACTTGTAGCCTTTGTTATGATATGTGTACTGAAGAAATGAATGCTTTGACTAAAAATACTTTGTAAGGCAATTGGTGTGCAAAATTTTGATGGAAGCAAGATGCGCAAATTGGAAGGTTTTTGTACAACACCAAGTCTGCAGACCGCATGTCTGCTAATATTAATGCAAGGGAGGCACTACAGGCACACTTTCAGCTACACCCCCTCTCATGCTACAGTGTAGGGAGCTCACATGAGATTTTTTAACACCCCCTCCTGCTACAGCGCAGGGGGCTTCACCCTCCTGCTACAGCGCAGGGGGCTTCACATGAGATTTTTTAAAAAATCTCATGTGAGCCCCGTGCACTGTAGCAGGAGAGGGGGTGTGGCTGAGAGTGTGCCAGGTGTGCCTGTAGTGTTTTTGCTTAATGCAAATTGTTTTTATGGTCGTGATTTTTGATAATGTTAAAAAAATGCATTTCCATATTTCCTATCTATTGTTGCACTCAGCACACGTCGCTGGACTGAGGAATGCTGTTCTTCTCATCCCCCCGCCCGCCCCCCCCCCCTTTTATGACATTGAAATATGTGAGTAAAAAGCAAGTAGACCCCTATTCACAAATTTGAAGAAAAGTACAAATAGAGATTACAAATCCACAAACTAATCTCTCACACAATGCTCGCAATCTCTCAAACAAAACCCTAAACAATAGCTCCAGAAAAGATTCTTTTCTGTGCTCCAAAAATCCCTCAATTCACCTCCCCAAGAAACCCTAAAACGTATTTTAATATTTATATCAAAACACAAACCAAATCAGAACATGAAACTAAATTCTAGGCCTGACCCGACTAGCGGTCGACCGCCCAAAGCTCGCGGTCGACCGCGACTAACGACAGAACCCAGAAAACAATTACAGGGTTCGACAGTCGACCGCGGCAGTCAACCGCACCCAACTCCAGACTCTCGGGTTTGATTACAGGGTTTGGCGGTCGACCGCACCAAGCCATGAATCATACCCAGGGTCTGTGCACATATTCAGTCGACCGACTTAGCACTGCGGTCGACCGAACATGACCAAAACTATTCCCCTGCTTCCAAAACCTGTTCTTCTCCAATTTCTTCGCCAATTTTACAATTATTCGCGTCGACGAAGTTTTTCCAAAACTAAGCCGACACCAATACCAACTAACCGTCCCACTTGTTGTGTCTAGTACGAAGTGGAACAAAACCATGACAACAGACTCAATCCACAACAAGTCAAGATCCAAACGAGAATGCGAACAAACTCCAAATGTCGGTATCAGCTCACCAAACCGGCCGCATCATAAAATGACTGCATATGCATCCTCTTGTCCAAGGAATCAAGCCTCACGTAGTTCACCAAATGGCCTCCAAATGCCCTCAATCAACGAGAAGAGTTTTCAACCCTTCTCCAACATCACCAACAAATCTGCAACTGATAACTTTTCCAATGGCCACAAAATAAAAAGAACTAAACACCTCCACCTGAGGTGAACCAATGGCCATAGCTAAATCCAAACTGTGTCCATCAATTGTACTTGAATCAACTAACTCATCATCTGTATCCAAATCAACATGATCCCCAATCTGTGTCACCTCAGCTAGAATCCCAAACGATACAGAATGATCTGGAGAACGTGGAGTAATCTTCACCCAACATGGAGTAACATCACTCTCCACCCACTGTGATATCCCAACGATCTATTCAACACTCTCCATCTGCTAAGAGTTAAATGTGACATACTTGCTCAGAACAATATCAGAGTCCAATACCTGGTAAGCAAACATGACTCTGAGTCCCAAATGTGCATTCGGATCAAATTTTACATCCTCGATGTGACCATATGCTGGGCAATCAAATATCCGAAGCAACCCAAAATCTGAAGCAGCTCCACCAGATCTAAATACTCTAAACGCAGCAATCGGCAACTTATGAATAAGATGGCTCTAATATGTTGAAGCCTCAACATCAGAACTTCTCTGCAAACCAATGCTCGACATTAAACATCGATCCTCCTCCAGCAAGGAACGACTCATCAAATCTGTCACCTCATCTCATCGCCCCAATGTTTCCTCTCCAATGAAGTATCTCAAACTACCGTGGGCTCGACACAAATGCAGAAAAGAATCCCTACCAAAATTAAAACGATGTATTACCTTTCTGCCAATACACTTCTTCCACCTACTGTTGACTACTAGGACTTCACACCAATAAGACTTGGTTGGGACTTGGTTGCAACCCACAAATGCCTAGAACTGTTGCCAACACAAGATACTAAATATATATTACCTCTCAACGATGTCTCCTTGGAAGGTCCCCAAATGACTGAATGAACACCACCTAGAAGACCCTTCGCTCGGTGAATAGAAGTGTCAAACTCCACATCGGTCTTCTTGCTCATACCAATGTACTCACAGGACTTCAATCTGTAGGTCAAAGCACTCCTTGGCAATCCATGCATGACATCAACAATTAAATATCTCAGCATCAACAAACGCTACAATCTAGCCAAATCCAAAAAGAAGAAGTCGTCAGCTCTCCACCAATCATCATGCTCCCAATCAAATAGTATAAATTCTTCTTTCTAACGCCCTTCATCATAATTATGGACTCAAATGTGACCTTCAAAGATGCATCATCTAAGGTCACCCGATAGTCTGCTGCCTCCAAAACTCCAAGTGAAATGATGTTCTTCTACAACTACGGAACGAACCTCACTTCATCCAACTCCCGAACCACCTCGTCATACATCCTAATACGAACGGTATCGATACCACCAATATGTCATTCATGATCATTACCCATGAGTACGACATCCCCTCTTTCCAACTCCTCAAAGATGGAGAACTAATCCCTCATTGGGCAAATGTGGTAAGGAGCACCCGAATCTAATATCCACTCTGTAGAGTCGGCAACAAAAACTAACAATAGTGCAGGGCACGAATAGCCTGAAGAATCTGAATCTGAATTGTCGCCACTAGCCTTGGCAACATTCACCTTTGAAGCTTGAATAACTTTCCCATTATTCTTCTCGGCTTGATCTGTTAACTTTGGGCATTAGGCTTTCTAATGTCCATCTTCTTTACAAAAAGCACATTGATTTTTACCAACTACAGGATGTGCTCCTCTAGATTGTGATCTTCTACTACAGTTTGGACTCTTCCCTCTTGTGACCAATGCCCCCGCTAATGTATCAATCAAAGTCTCCTTATCTTTCTTCCGAAGCTGATAATTCATAAGTACAGCAGTGACCTCACTATATGAAAGAGATGTCTTCTCATTAATAAGCGTAAGAACGAATGTCTCATATTCCTCGTCGGCAAGGAACTCAACAATAACAACGTTTTGTCCTCACCTTCAATCATAACATCTATATTCGCCAAATCCGCAAGAAGTTTTGTATAGTTGTTTATGTGATCATCAATGGAGGTTCTCTTCTTCAATTGGAAGTGATAAAGCCCCCTCTTCAAATACAAGTAGTTTTCCACACTCTTTGTTAAATACTTGTCCTCTAGGATCTCCCAAATCTTCTTTGCCGAAGTCTCATTGATCACATCATATTTCAAATCTTGTGTTAAACAAGACCTAATCACATCACATGCCGTTCGATTCATCTTCTTCCAAACATTCTCATCAATATTGTCCGGTTTCCCGTCCAACTCCAAAGTATCCTCCAATTTTTGCGCATTCAGCGCATCTAAGACTTCACATTTCCAAAGACTAAAATTGTTAGTGTCATTAAACTTCTCCACGTCTATCTTCATAGAGTAGATATTCAAACTTTGGACGGTCTTTACACCAGAAGTACCCTCCACAACTCATTCTTTCTCGGCCATCTTCCTCAAAGCACTACCAAACCAATACGGAACAAACGAAGAATAGATCCAAACTAAAAAAGAGAAATTTTTATACCTCCAAGTGAAACCCTAATAAGAGCATCCGAAAGATCTCAACCCCACAAGACGAAAACGAGATCCGCAATAGTAAAAATCTCACATTTATCACCAACTGAAGCCCTAGATGAGCTTCCAAAGCGATCTACTCCTCCACCTAGCCCAAGCGTAGCCAAAGCTCTGATACCACTTGTTATGCTCTGATACCACTTGTTGTACTTTGAGGAACCAAACCAAACGTCGAGAGAGAAGACCAAACAATCCAAAATAACGGCAACAACACAAACAAATAAATTTTACGTGGTTCGGCAAGTTGCCTACGTCCACGGGGCAAGAAGGGGATGAGTTTTCACTAATAGAGGTTTACGTGGTTCGGCAAGTTGCCTACGTCCACGGGGCAAGAAGGGGATGAGTTTTCACTAATAGAGAAGAAGAGTACAAATAGAGATTACGCCTACGTCCACGGGGCAAGAAGGGGATGAGTTTTCACTAATAGAGAAGAAGAGTACAAATAGAGATTATAAATCCACAAACTTATCTCTCACACAATGCTCTCAATCTCTCAAACAAAACCCTAACCAATAGCTCCAGAAAAGACTCTTTTTGTGCTCCAAAAAAACCCCAATTCACCTCCCCAAGAAACCCTAAAACGTGTTTTAATATTTATATCAAAACACAAACCAAATCAGAATAGTAAACTAAATTCTGGGCCTGACCCGACTGGTGATCGACCGCCCAAGGCTCGCGGTCGACTGCAACTAACGACAAAACCCAGAAAACAATTACAAGGTTCGGCGGTCGACCGCGGCAGTCGACCGCACCCAACTCTAGACTCTCGGGTTTGATTACAGGTTTGACGGTTGACCGTACCAAGCCCTGAATCATACCCAGGGTCTGTGCACGTATTCGGTCGACCAGCCTAGCACCGCGGTCGACCGAACATGACCGAAACTGTTCCCCTACATCCA